CATTTTGGAATAAGACTGTCACATAAACAAATGTGGACAAAGTGAAGCGCTATCAGTACTTTCCGGATGCACTGTATGTAATAATAAACTCAAAGGGCAAATCGCGGCACTACAAACACTAAAGTCATTGGTTGGATTCCAGCATGAATGCATGAACTGGTCAAATGTAGAGTCTGTATCAGGCGAACCTTCTTTTATGATCTTTCACTCCTCTAAATGTGTGTGCATGTGTGAATGTATGTGTGAGTGACTGTGTATGTGTTAAGTGTGTGTGTGTGTGTTGATAAGTGTGTGATGCAGCAGCAGCGCCCCCTACTGAATCCTCACAAAACTCCACTCACACTTCCTTCATTTTCATTCCCATCACAAACACCCTATTTCTCTCTCTCACACACACACACACACTCCTGCAAAAACACATTTCTGGGTTTTTTACACCTCCTCCAGCGCTCTCATTTTCACAGCTGACGGCACCGGAGAATCCGAGCAGAAACACGAGCAGGTGTTGGATGGAGAGAGAGAGAGAGAGAGAGAGAGAGATTGCTGTTTACTGAGTGTGAAAAGAGCTTCAGTGGAGCCTTCAGGCCAGAAACACACCGTCTGAAGCCCACGGCGGACTCAGAGAATGGAGAATACACCACACATGTCACTTCTATAGTCACAAATAGGGGAAAGTGTAACAACAATATGGCCGCATCAGTGAAGGAAGCCCTGCTCTCTGGTAAAGGAGCCAATCAATGATCAATATCCATTCGTTAAGTGTGATGTCACATGATGCAGATTAGGGTCCAATTACCAATCAGATTATACCAATCAGGCTTAACAAATAGTAACAAATACTTACAAATGTTTATAGAGCACTGTAATACTTTTAACAAATCATGATGGCAATATATATCCATGCCTTATATTAGATGGCCAGAAGGTGATACTTTTTTTTTTTAATTGTTAAAATAAAAGTCTATAATCACATGACGGAAACCACCCGAATGCCCACAAGCTTCTAAACAGAGTCTCTGCTGTCCATGATGCATGCACGATCAGATGAGGCATACCGAAGATAAGACGTAAGTTATTGATTCATAACCTAGTTTTACTATGCATGCACTTAACCATGTGTATGAGTTTAGAGTTGTCCCTAATGGAACACACACATTCATTTATTCATTCATTCATTCATTCTCCTCTGCTTAGTCCCTGATTTATCAGGGGTGGCCACAGCAGAATGAGGAACACTAGTATTTCTTTACTTAATGTAAATTACAACCAGCCTATATTTAATGATTGCCAAATTAAATGCGAAATAATTAAACGTGAAATAAATTACCAAATTAGAAAATAGTACCGGTCATACTATCAGCCCTAGTGGCCTTTTGGATGGGTTATCAGTCTTTTAGGGTGAAGCAATCAGTCTTTTGGGAGGGGTTATCAGTCATTTAGGGTGGAGCTATCAGTCTTTTAGGGTGGAGCTATCAGTCTTTTGGGAGGGGTTATCAGTCATTTAGGGTGGAGCTATCAGTCCTTTAGGGTGGAGCTATCAGCCCTTTCGGGCAGGGTTATCAGTCCTTTAGGGTGGAGCTATTAGTCCTTTTGGGTGGGGCTATCAGTCCTTTTGGACAGGGTTATTAGTTCTTTAGGGCGGAGCTATCATTCCTTTAGGGTGGAGCTATTAGTCTTTTCGGGCATAGCTATCTGTTATTTAGGGCGAAGCTATCAGTCCTTTAGGGGCGGAACTATCATTCCTTTTGGGTGGTGCTATCCGTCCTTTAGGGCGGAGCTATCATTCCTTTAGGGTGGAGCTAACAGTCCTTTTGGACATGGTTATTAATTCTTTAGGGCGGAGCTATCATTTCTTTAGGGTGGAGCTATCAGTCCTTTTCGGGCATAGCTATCAGTTATTTAGGGCGGAGCTATCAGTCCTTTGGAGTGGAGCTATCAGTCTTTAAGGGGCGGATCTTTCATTTCTTTAGGGTGGAGCGATCAGTTATTTAGGGCGGAGCTATCAGTCCGTTGGAGTGGAGCTATCAGTCTTTTAGGGGCGGATCTTTCATTTCTTTAGGGTGGAGCGATCAGTTATTTAGGGCGGAGCTATCAGTCCGTTGGAGTGGAGCTATCAGTCTTTTAGGGGCGGAACTTTCATTCCTTTAGGGTGGAGCTATCATTCCTTTAGGGTGGAGCTAACAGTCCTTTTGGACATGGTTATTAATTCTTTAGGGCGGAGCTATCATTCCTTTAGGGTGGAGCTATCAGTCCTTTTCGGGCATAGCTATCAGTTATTTAGGGCGGAGCTATCAGTCCTTTGGAGTGGAGCTATCAGTCTTTTATGGGCGGAACTTTCATTCCTTTAGGGTGGAGCTATTAGTCCTTTAGGGTGGAGCTATCAGTCCTTTGGGGTGGAGCTATCAGTCTTTTAGGGGCGGATCTTTCATTTCTTTAGGGTGGAGCTATCAGTTATTTAGGGCGGAGCTATCAGTCCTTTGGAGTGGAGCTATCAGTCTTTTAGGGGCGGAACTTTCATTCCTTTAGGGTGGAGCCTTCAGTCCTTTAGGGGTGGAGCTATCATTCTTTTAGTGTGGAGCTATCAGTCCTTTAGGCCGGGGGTATCAGTCCTTTAGGGGTGGAGCTATCATTCTTTTAGGGTGGAGCTATCAGTCTTTTAGGGGCGGATCTTTCATTTCTTTAGGGTGGAGCTATCAGTTATTTAGGGCGGAGCTATCAGTCCTTTGGAGTAATGTAATGTAATGTAATGTAATGTGTATTTATATATAGCGCATTTATTGTGTATAGCAATACACCCAAAGCGCTTCACAATCATGAGGGAGGGTCTCTCCACACCACCACCAGTGTGCAGCATCCACTTGGATGATGCGACAGCTGCCACAGGACAACGGCGCCAGTGCGCTCACCACACACCAGCTATTGGTGGAGTGGAGGGACAGTGATAGAGCCAATTCGTGGAGAGGGGATGATTGGGAGGCCATGATCGTAAGGGCCGATAGAGGGACTTTGGCCAAGACACCGGGGTTACACCCCTGCTCTTTCACGAGAAGTGCCTTCAGAGAGTCAGGACCTCGGTTTAACGTCTCATCCGAAAGACGGCGCCCACTGACAGTTTAGTGTCCCCTTCACTTTTACTGGGGCATTAGGACTCACACAGACCACAGGTTGAGCGCCCCCTGCTGGCCTCACTAACACCACTTCCAACAGCAACCTAGTGTTCCCTAGTGGTCTCCCATCCAGGTACTGACCAGGCTCAGCCCTGCTTAGCTTCAGTGAGTAACCGGTCTTGGGCTGCAGGGTGACATGGCTGTAGAGCTGGGGCTGTTTCAATTGCCTTTTCCCCCATATGGTGATGTACATCTAATCTTAATTTCAGTTTCATGCTGACTATAAAGAGCCTTTCGTGGACTGAAGAACGAGCTCTCGATGCTTCTGGATGGGGCAGACAGCACCGGCTCCAGGTTCCACTACGTGTTCATCCTTGAAAACACATCGCATGACATCAGACAGCTCCAGTTGATGGAAAATACAGCCTCTGCTGCCATAAAGGCTTCTGCTGGGCCGCTGCTGGGCAGCAGCTCAACTGTGCTGTATTTTCTTCCAGTTGTAATGGCTGATTTTTTCAGTTGTCGTCTGCTGGCGTGACTCCGAGCAGCGCAGCGTCTGCCAGCCCTTCTGAAAAACAGCTGCAGCTCTGGGTAAAAATAATTACACTTGTGTCTCTGAAGGGGAAAGAGGAGGAGACCTGACAAACCCAAAACACTAAACCCACAGACAACTGACTCCAGAGCTGCTGGAACTCACATCTGGACCAGAGGACTTCATTTGTGGATGAGGAAAAGAAACTGACATGTATTCCTCATCTAATACCACATTACCTAAAATATCTGATGTTTTCTACAGGCTTAGAAACTGAGATGAAGGGGCAGATACAGAATAATAAAGGACAGAGCCAAAAAAGATTAAAAAGCATCACACAATTAATAAAAATATAAAATAAATAAATATACATCAATCTTGAAGATAAAAAGATAAAACATAACAGCAGGCTGAACATGCTCACAACACCCTACTTAAACACCTAAACATTCATACAACTATTTACTCCTTTATATAATCCTGCACCTAAAACTAGAGAATCAATATTTTTATTAATCAAATCGTTCTGAATTTACCAAACATAAACAAATAATGTTAATAATAATAACAATATTATTAATAATAATAATAATAAAAATAGCTATTAAATTAATTATTAAATCAATAGTTTGGTCATCAATACGTGTTACATGGAAAAATTACAATTCATAAGAATACAAAGGACATCACTATAAGTTTCTCAAACAAATATAGTTTGTTACTGTTGAAAATAATCAAATAAATAATACATAAAATACCAACAAATAAATAATACAGACTTTCGGAGAATAAAAAGAGTTGAATACATTTTTTATTAAGCAATTTTGAGTTAAATAACGTTATTTTAAGCCTTAAAGCACAATTAACACAACTTAATCTAAACATCTTAACCAAAAATCACTAACACTAACAACTCATGAAACAATGGGATACAGCTGCGGATGGAAGTTAACGATATTATGTATCAAATTACCCATTAAATAGTATTTTATTAACTTCTTCATTCCTAAACCAAACTATCATGATAAGGTAAAAAATATTAATTATGGCTGTACAGTGTTATAAAAGGTTATGCTACGTTGACGCGAATATCCGCAGCTGTATCCCATCTAGACTTCACCTTAAATAACTGTTTAATTGTATTCAGCGGGTCTTTACTGCCACCTGCTGTCAATCTAGAAGTAGCAGCTCTTCTAAAACGTTGATTTTTAATAAAAAGAATAGTATTTTCTACATTAAGTTAAATCGCTCTTACATGGATTACTCCTCATTTGAGTAAAGTGTAGAGTTGTGTAGAGTCGCTCAGTGTTTGTGCTCAGGCGCCATCAGCGGCCGCTTATCTGAGTGACGTCGCTAGGGTCCTTCCTCGTGTGGCTCCGCTGAGGGTCATGCAGTGGCTCTGATCGACGTGATTATTTGTAATTTTCCGGTGTTTTTGCTTGCGGTTCTGTGTGGGTTTCTCTCGTCATGATGGGCGGCAGCAGCAGCAGGATCGCGGCTGGTTTGGGCGCGGCGCTCTTCGTCGGTTACTGCATTTATTTCGACAGGAAGAGACGGAGTGACCCGAACTACAAGAACAAACTACGAGAACGTGAGAGAAGCAGCGGCCTGTTTATCCCTCTGCATAGAGTCTGTGCCTGTCTGTCATTCTGTATACATCTATATCTGTCTGTCTTTCTCTATACATCTATATCTGTCTGTCTTTCTCTATACATCTATATCTGTCTGTATACATCTATATCTGTCTGTCTTTATACATCTATATCTGTCTGTCTTTCTCTATACATCTATATCTGTCTGTATACATCTATATCTGTCTGTCTTTCTCTATACATCTATATCTATCTGCGTACATCTATATCTGTCTGTCTATCTGTATACATCTATATCTGTCTGTCATTCTGTATATATCTATATCTGTCATTCTGTATACATCTATATCTGTTTGTCTTTCTGTATACATCTATATCTGTCTGTCATTCTGTATACATCTATATCTATCTGTCATTCTGTATACATCTATATCTGTCTGTCTTTCTGTATACATCTATATCTGTCTGTCTTTCTGTATACATCTGTACCTGTCTGTATACATCTATATCTGTCTTACTGTATACATCTATATCTGTCTTACTGTATGCATCTATATATGTCTGTCTTTCTCTATACATCTATATCTATGCGTACATCTATATCTGTCTGTCTATCTGTATACATCTATATCTGTTTGTCTTTCTGTATACATCTATATCTGTTTGTCTTTCTGTATACATCTATATCTGTTTGTCTTTCTGTATACATCTATATCTGTCTGTCTATCTGTATACATCTATATCTGTTTGTCTTTCTGTATACATCTATATCTGTTTGTCTTTCTGTATACATCTATATCTGTCTGTCTATCTGTATACATCTATATCTGTTTGTCTTTCTGTATACATCTATATCTGTTTGTCTTTCTGTATACATCTATATCTGTCTGTCTATCTGTATACATCTATATCTGTTTGTCTTTCTGTATACATCTATATCTGTTTGTCTTTCTGTATACATCTATATCTGTCTGTCTATCTGTATACATCTATATCTGTTTGTCTTTCTGTATACATCTATATCTGTTTGTCTTTCTGTATACATCTATATCTGTCTGTCTATCTGTATACATCTATATCTGTTTGTCTTTCTGTATACATCTATATCTGTCTGTCTATCTGTATACATCTATATCTGTTTGTCTTTCTGTATACATCTATATCTGTTTGTCTTTCTGTATACATCTATATCTGTCTGTCTATCTGTATACATCTATATCTGTTTGTCTTTCTGTATACATCTATATCTGTTTGTCTTTCTGTATACATCTATATCTGTCTGTCTATCTGTATACATCTATATCTGTTTGTCTTTCTGTATACATCTATATCTGTTTGTCTTTCTGTATACATCTATATCTGTCTGTCTATCTGTATACATCTATATCTGTTTGTCTTTCTGTATACATCTATATCTGTTTGTCTTTCTGTATACATCTATATCTGTTTGTCTTTCTGTATACATCTATATCTGTTTGTCTTTCTGTATACATCTATATCTGTCTGTCTTTCTGTATACATCTATATCTATCTGTATACATCTATATCTATCTGTATACATCTATATCTGTCTGTCATTCTGCATGTGTTCTGTCTGTCCTTCCTCCTGCTTATCTGTCATTTTCTCCATCTTGCTCTCTCTATATATGTATTTTTCTATCTGTCCGTCCATCTGTCTATCACTCTCTCATATTGGGGTAAAGTTGGTTCTATATTCACACATTCTAACTTTCTCCTTTATAATATAAATGTAGAAAAATATAATATGCAAATTCTAAATAGTCATATTATCAGCTAATGACTGTCAAAGTACTGCACTGTTCAGTCAATTACTTTTGAAGTCATACTTGCATGCAATTTTAGAGTGAATATTTAAAGTAGCATGTCACAAGGTGTTCAAAATTACACACACATATACACTAACCGGACACTTTATTAGGTACACCTTACTAGTACGGGGTTAAACCACCTTTTGCTTTCAGAACTGCCTTAATCCTTCATGTCAGAGATTCAACAAGCTGCTGGAAATATTCCTCAGAGATTTTGCTCCATGTTGTCATGATAGCATCACACAGTTGCTGCAGATTTGTCGGCTGCACATCCATGATGCCAATCTCCCGTTCCACCACATCCCAAAGCTGCTCTATTGGATTGAGCTCTGGTGACTGTGGAGGCCATTTGAGTACAGTGAACTCATCGTCATGTTCAGCAGTCTGAGATGATTGAGCTTTATGACATGCTGCGTTATCCTGCTGGAAGTAGCCATCAGAAGATGGAGACACTGTGCTCATAAAGGGATGGACATGGTCAGCAGCAATACTCAGGTAGGCTGTGGCGTTGATGCTCAATTGGTACTAATGGACCCAAAGAAAATCTCCCCCACACCATTACACCACCACCACCAGCCTGAACCGCTGATACAAGGCAGGATGATCCATGCTTTCATGTTGTTGAGGCCAAATTCTGAATGTGGCAGCAGAAATGGAGACTCAGTTTCCTGTTCTTAGCTGTACAGGCAACAACCATGCCACATTCAAAGTCTCTTAAATCCCCTTTCTTCCCCATTCTGATGCTCGCTTTGAACTGCAGCAGATCGTCTTGACCATATTTACATGCCTAAATGCATTGAGTTGCTGCCATGTGATTGGCTGATGAGAAATTTGCATTAACGAGCAGTTGGACAGGTGTACCTAATAAAGTGGCCAGTGAGTGTATTCATATATAAATAAATATGTTTGTCAATTTGTCCTTCTCTATCATCTATTTGTCTTTTCTATCTATCTATCTATCTATCTATCTATCTATCTATCTATCTATCTATCTATCTATCTATCTATCTATCTATCTATCTATCTATCTATCTATCTATCTATCTATAATTTTGTCTGTCTACATGTGAACTGAAGTGGTGATGAGTGTTCAGATTAGTTCTCCTCTAGTAGATGTACCGTCAGTTGGACGGGTAAGTTACAGTCAGAAAGGCTGATCAATGTGTTTTCTTGCAGGAAGAAAAAAGCAGAAGGCAGCTCAGGAGAAAGCTGGATTATCAAGGGTAATTTCACACACACACACACACACACACACACACACACACACACACACACATTAATACCGTAGACACACTGAATTATGAACTCTCTCATCTGTTATATTTGTGTGTGTGTGTGTATATATGCAGTTACCAGACCTGAAGGACGCAGAGGCGGTTCAGAAGTTTTTCCTGGAGGAGATTCAGCTGGGTGAAGAGCTGCTGGCTCAGGGTGAGCTCTGCTCCAGTGTGTGTATGTCTGTGTTCGCCCTCGGTGAACTGATGACCTTCATGGCCAATCACAGTCATTTCTGTTGAGCACTGGTGAACACAATGGCCAATCAGCGGTGTTTAGGAACATGCTCAAATGTTAGCAGGAAATAGACGTTTTTCAGATTTCAGTACCGCAATCCTAGTATGGTGGCAACACTAGTGTGATTAGTCTGTTCCATCCCTCTGATTGGTTAATCAGCAGCGAATCAGCAGTGCGAGTGTGATGTAGCATGAAAACAAATCAATTCAGGAACACACAGAGGCCGGCTGTAACTTCATCATTACACATCTCAAATATTAGCAAACGATATGGGTTATTGGATTATCAGTCCTTCATCTCTCCCGTGGTGAGAGGTGATTGCTGTGGGAATGGAGCAGAACGCTGCTTTGTTTACACTTTGCATGTGTGCGTCAGAAATTCTGGTTTTATTTTGCTCTTGAATCAGTCGACGGCCATCCGTTTGGTGTGTTCACGGGAAGCTTTTTGCTCCAGAAATGAGGCGACAACACAGTCAGCTTGGCGTGTCCCGGCCCGTGAGGTCTGTGTGAAATCCAAACGTTCATCGGTTGTTTTGCTAGGTCACCTTGTGTTCATCTTTAGGTCATAGGTCTGGAATCCTGGAGGGAGGCAGCCCTAATTAAACACAGCTGATCAACTAATCAAGCTGTTCAAGACTACAGCTGCGTCCCTAATCGCATACTTATGCTCTATTCTGCGCCATTTTGTAGTTTAAATAGTGTAAGTAGTGTTCACACTGAAAACTCTAACAATAATAAGTGCACTTTAATTACCCGGATGATCACTCATTCAGCCGGTAAAGTGAAGTGTGTAATGATGGACACTTCACGCACTCAACCACCGAAGGTCTGCTTGCGTAGCGGAAGGGGCGGAGCTATCGGGCGCACATGTTGAATAACTTTATTTGTTTCGGATGGTGAAAGCAAAACTCTCCTACGAGAGTGATTATAGCGCCTCCCGATGGTGAATGCGGTTATACTCACGGCAGGTATTATTTGATCATTCGGTCTTTATTTCACTGATTTGGCGACCGTCATCAGGGAAACGGTTTGAATTTCCGCTTAGTAAAAAAACATTAGTGCGCCATTTGGGACGACACTACATACATATACTATACTGTTGAGTGTGTAAGTGCATAAGTACATAGTGCATAAGTGCATAGTGTATAGTGTGCCATTTGGGACGCAGCTTACCAGACATTAATAAGCAGGTTTGAGGTGGAGTAAGCCGCGGCACTCCAGGAATTGAGTTAGAGACCATTGCTTTAGGTCAGGGGTGTCAAAACTCGGTCCTGGAGGGCCAGTGTCCTGCTGAGTTTAGCTCCAACTTGCTTCATTGCACTTGCCAGGATGTTTCTAGTTAATCCAGTATATCAAGGCTGTTTCTCAATATGCGCTCTTCAGCGGTCTTGCGTTTTCGTGTGACGTCATCATCAGCTGCTAAAGTTCAGTTCAAGAACAGAGGACGCGTGAAACTTCCCGGATGTGTTCTTGATATCGAGGACGCACCGATGCAGACTTGAGCACCGAACTCGCTCTGGAAGTCCCAGAAGTCATTGCAACTGGAGGTGGGAAGCGCAGCATTTTCATTCATTCAATTTCTTGTCGGCTTAGTCCCTTTATTAAACCGAGGTCGCCACAGTGGAATGAACCACCAATTTATCCAGCAAGTTTTTACGCAGCGGATGCCCTTCCAGCCAAAACCCTTCTCTGGGAAACATCCACACACACATTCACACACACACTCATACACTACGGTCAATTTAGCCTACCCAATTCACCTGTACCGCATGTCTTTGGACTGTGGGGGAAACCGGAGCACCCGGAGGAAACCCACGCGAAGGCAGGGAGAACATGCAAACTCCACAAAGAAACGCCAACTGAGCCGAGGTTCGAACCAGTGACCTTCTTGCTGTGAGGCGACAGCACTACCTACTGCACCACTGCCTCGCGAGCGCAGCATTTTATCTAGATTTATTATTAGTTCAGAGATTTAACTTACCTCAGGAGTTTCCCTGAATGAAACGGTGAAATTAAACATTACCATGAACATCTTAATAAAGGAATAAACACATTAAGGGTGTTTGTTTGCTGAAATTCGTATAAAAATCTGTTTTATTTACACCGTTCAGTGTATATTGATAATGTTTTCATGCAGAGTATATTTTGAAAAGGGGAAAGACAGTAATTGTTGTATGAAGGCTGTAATGTTTAAATAATCTACCATTTAAACACGTGAAGGTCATGTGACCATCAGGAAGAACACAGCATCTCATTTCTCACAGGACGTGTTCTCTGTTCTCGTGGTCTCCTGAGTTCGTTCTTCCGAGGACATCTGGCAAGTCCGATCTCCAGAAGAACGCAAGTCCGGTCTCTGCGTTCTTGGAATTGAGAAACAGCCCTAGTAAGAGCTTGATTAGCTTGTTTAGGTGTGTTTGATTTGGGTTGGAGTTCATGTCTCCAGGACACTGGCCCCTTCAGGAACAAGTTTGGACTCCCCGCTTTAGGTGAACAATTAATCTGCGCACGTTATTCCACTGAAAATAATGTTTGTTTCGGTCATTTTAAATCAAAATCGGAGTGTCTGCTTCTGCGTGTGGATTGGCTGCTTCTCTGATGATGTCAGTTTGGTGCTTCAGACTCGGTATTCTTCGCTTCCTGTTAGTTTACTGTGAGGGAATGATGCTCTAAAAGAAAGCCCCGCCCCCTACTCAATATTCAGTTTCAGTACTTCAGCATACTGAAATAAAAGTCTCAGCTACCTTTGGTTTACGCAGACTTTAACACTTTTCTGTGCGTGTGTGTGTGTGTGTGTCAGGAGACTATGAGAAAGGTGTGGATCACCTGACGAACGCCATCGCAGTGTGTGGTCAGCCTCAGCAGCTCCTGCAGGTCCTGCAGCAGACGCTCCCTCCTCCAGTCTTCCAGATGCTCCTCACCAAACTGCCCACCATCAGCCAGGTGAACATACACACACACACACACACACACATACACACAGAGAGAGACAGACACACATACTGACAGACACAGCTCAGACAAAAAAACACACACACATACATACATACAGACAGACCTTTACTAACACACCTTTACTTCCGTATGCGTAAAACTCGGATGTGATTAAATATTTAAATTCCTGCGACCAGACCGTATGCTACTGGTCAACCGGATGTGAAGTATTCCAGTGTTGTCCAAGCAGATCTGTGCACACCAGATCAGAAATAGGAGTTTTTCGTCACTTGTTTGAATCAGAAAAAGTCTATTAAAAAAAAAATTTCTATTCATAAATGAGGAATATAAAATAAGCATTTTATGTTGTCTCCACATTTCCTTAGAAACTTTTTCACCACGAAAATCAGCTCTCGGTGTGCACAATAACACTGAAAATTCTGTGTGGCTGCCACAAGGGGGCGTACTCCGACAGTCGTGTCCAAATGGCATTTTAAAACGAAAGGCTGATTGATACTTCTGCGTCAAGCGAACGCTTATGCTATGGCGCAGCCAACGCGTTGACGCATAGCCCTACGCTGTCGGCGTCGTGGACGTGCACCTCTTAAAAAATGTAACCTCACGTCGCAACGACGCGTAGCGCAAGCTCTGTGATTGGTTGGCTTGGTAGCGCTGACGAGTTTGGGCGGGACCGATAGCTGCGCGACCCTGATGGAGCGATTGTTTACAAGTGTGGAGTCCCGTGAAGGAGCTCCGGATGGAAAGTTTTGTTTTGTGTTTACCTCATAGTTAAAGTTGTTGCACGTCCGCCGGTTCCTGCCTCAAAATGAGCGAGTTTGAGCCACTTGTACAACCAGAAAGCGTTCAGAAGAAACAAAACACCAGCGAAGAAACTCAAGACACATGAACACCTCACTGCCAACTAGAGTTTCGGAAGTGTTAATGCAGACCAACTGAGACAGCGCGCAGAAGTATAAATGCACAGCTGCACGCGTTGGCTGCGCCGTGAGTTACGCCGGTCACTTGACGCAGAAGTATAAACCAGGCTTAAAGGGCCCCTCGTTTCAGCAGGGTGTTTTCACACCTCTATTTTGGAAAAAGTCAGAAAAGTGGGCGTGTCCAGCTCTGTTTAGGGGGGAGTGTCGGAGGAAGAAAAGAGGCATGGTGTTGGAGTGTCTATTTGGGCGTGCTGAATCGAAAGTAACCGAGTTAAAACACACACACACACACACAGGGGACAATGTGACTGTGTTTACATGGACATCTGTAGTCAAATTATTTGCCAAATGATTAAACGGTGGACTTTAACTGCAGTTTGACTCTTTCATTTAGGTAATTCATTCATGTCCCTCGCTACAAACGAGATATTTGATTGGAGGAGCTGCTCTAAGCGTGTATTTTTCATGCAATGTTTGATACCGCACGGCGAATGAGAGAAAAAAACCCTCCGCATTTCCCGGAAACTTAGATGCACACGGCAGGTAGCGTCAGAAAGCCGCGTGTGTTATTCCGGTCACTAAATGCGGTGAAAATCCTACACGAGGTTAAAGTTTGGTTGTGGTGCTGACATGTTTACACTCGGTGCAATAGTTAGTTCATTACGAACAAACTGAATAAACAAAGAGCACTGGCCGCTCACTTACCAAATCTGTAGAGACAGGACAATCACCAGCAACTAGAGCCGCGTCTGTATTAAGAGGAGACTAAAGCGAATCCGGATCTCAGCGTTTGCAGATGAGAACAGCTCTCAGGTAAACAATAATCCTCCTTAGACACGTAAGTTATTGTTGTGGAGCGTCGCGTACACTGTTAATCCACACGTGACTCCAGCTGCGCTCTCACAGAGAGAAAATGAAAACAAAACTTCACTGCAGCAAACTATAAAAGCAACACTTCACGCTTGTTTCGCCAACACAACGTGGCGTCTCTGTCGTCTAAACACTGTGACAGTAATGAATATTAATGAAGGTGCACAATAGAGCGCGCTGATTGGTTTGAACCAAGCTTTACTCATGCATTAATGCAGCACACTGTAAGACGTAATAAGACACACTCTGGCACAGACGTCCAGTCTGCACGCTGGAATACACGCTATTATCTCATGACCGTGACGCAGCTTTAAAAATTAGTTTCAAACCGGAAGTACGAATTTGCTTGAAATAACGCAAAAACAACCAATTTACACTTTTTAGTGAAATATAGGTGTCCTAATAGTGTTTTTAGCAGTGTGGGACACATATACCACTGTCAACAGCTCAACACATGTGTTCTGGTGTTTCGTGACCCTTTAAGACAGATTAGTGTAATCGAGGCCTGAGTGTGTGTTCGCGAGCGGGTTGGTGCTGCGACGGGGCGGAGGATCGTGAAGCTGGCTCAGCATCATGATATCTATCAGGCATCGTCTATCAATCCAACCCTAATAGGGAAATTGGCTGTCGTGTATGGGTGTTTCCCAATACTGGGTTGCAGCTGGAATGGCATTGGCTGCGTAAAACATATGCTGGATAAGTTGGCGGTTCATTCTGCTGTGGCGACCGCGAATAAAGGGACTAATCTGAAAAGAAAATGAATGAAAGTCCGAACTATGAGATCCAAACTCTGAATTCAGATTTGTGAGAATTCTGGGAATTACATCTGAATTTTTCGATGTGAACTGAAGAGTCCGCGTTCAACCCAATTACAAAATAAATATATTTAAAATAGCAAGACGTGAACTTCAAATTCAAACTCCGAATCCCCTGAACAAGCTGTGCCGTAAATGTCCACGTCAGTGTGAATTCAATCTAATATGTTTCCTGCAGCGTATCGTCAGCGCTCAGAGCATCAGCGACGACGACATCGAGTAGCAGGAACTCCAGCCGCTGTACGACATCACTTCCTGTCTGTCCTGAATCTACAGTCCCGCCCCTTTTCCATTCACGAACAGCGAACGCACAGAAGCGGATCTAAAGCAGCATCTGAGGAGGGGAACAGAAGTGAGAGACATCAGTTTGGTGATGGTGTTTCAGTGCGTTTGAATGACAGAAGACAAGCATGACCCGCTAACACTCATCTATTTGAGTCATTTGATTTACTAACAGTGTTGAGTTTTGGAAGTCATTGAATATCGCGAAGGCTTGTAGACGCGATGTTTACACTGTCTTTAGTCTGTGATGGGGAAATGGAGAAGTCATTTGTCTGTGTTCATGTATTTAAGTTATTTTTATTGGCTGTGAGACGTCTGATGTGGTGAAGCACGATTAAAGGTGCTCGGAGTTTCCTCTTTTTTTAAAATCCAAATAAATCAATGTCGAATAATCGCTGTGTTCAATTCATTTGTGCATCCAACTATGTAAAGTACAAAGTATTTAATGAGAATATTTCATTCATTCAGATTAGGATGTTCGTGTTTCATTTGTTGTTTTGAGCACCAGCAGTACATATGTTAAACGTCTCCCTTCAGGTTTTGGAGTCTCTTCTACAGCTCTGATTCAGGTGTGTTTGATCAGAGGTTGAGAATGTGTACTGTTGGTGTGCCTTTAGGAACAAGGTTGGGAAACACTGTTTACTTTATTGATATTGGCAATTTATTTTTTAGGGACAAGATGATGTGGTGCATGAAAAACTGGCAGTAATAACCAATTTTCTTAGAAAATAATTAAGCAAATATGCATTTAAGAGCTTCAAAAAAAACTTACATTTTTAAATAAAAATATTTTTAAAATATAAATATAAAAGATTTAGAATTTTTAATTATTTTTAATATTAAAGATATTGAATATCAAAGACTACATTTTCTATGAGGATTTTTAATATCAAGGATTTTTACATTTATTTAGAAAAATGTACAAAAATGGCCAAATTTGTATTTATAGAACATTTATTTGCATAAAAATATTTTATTTGCTGCACAAATCTTCATGAAAAATTTGGCAGGAATTAATAATTCAAAACCTTTTTTTTAATTAAGATTATTTAAATGCATTTAATTAAATTTGATTTATTTAAATTTTCTATTTAACAGAGCCAGGTGTGGATTTATAAAGTTGCTTTGTGTATTCGACTATTTATTATTAATAACAGGGGACACCAAACTTGTTCCTAGAGGGCCGGTGTCCTGCAGATTTTAGCTCCAACCCTAATCAAACACACCTGATCAAACTAATCAAGCTCTTACTCGGTATACTTGAAACATCCAGGCAGGTGTGTTGAGGCAAGTTGGAGCTACACTATGCAGGACACCAGACCTCCAGGACCGAGATTGGTGACCCCTGATTAATAATAATAATGCTGCTGATGTTTGGGGACTTTTTAATCAGTATTTTAAAGTTCTTTATTCATTTTAATCTTGGGAGTGGATGTGTTGAGGTTGTATAAGTATGGCTTGATGTATACTTATGTCCTTGTCCAGCAAATCAGAATAGTTCGCTGGCCAGCACTTTTGGTTTGGTTTTCAGAGCTGCTGTGAACTCCAGTAATAAACAGCGCTCTTCAGTGCAAAGGTCCATTTTTGTATGGAGGGGGATTTTAAATTTGATTGACAAACTTACAATGACTGAAGTATTCATGTAATCATTAACATTTAAATACATTCATATAATTCTACCTTACACCTTTACATGTTTTCAGTGAGTTATTTTCTTTGCTGCCAACTCCGTGGTCTCTGGAAAAGGAGGAGGCTTTACCCTTAAGAATTAAGAAACTTACCCCTAAGAATTGGGACAGCACTACAGCTCCTGCAAGCGTCATCACATGTCATCACGATCTCTGTAGCATCATTTGAGATCAGACGATGGCGACTGCTGTAGTGATTCCAGTTGTGTTATTTTTTATGTTTATCTTCATGAAATCACTGAAGGCAGATATATTATCACTGTAACACATTCATCAATGTAAACACACCAAAAACAGCATGAACATTATAGCAGACACTGCAAACAGCTCATTCCCAGCCACTAGACTTTTCCGACAGGGCATTCCAGAGTCAACAAGTGTCAGCATGCTGTGGGACTGCTGGACAGGAGGTATTATTAAGGATTATAGATCATGAAATTTAGCGGTTTTTATTTCAGCATTTTTTAAAGCATGACGGTGGTTATGAGTGTATTAAAACATGTGCTTGTTTGTTATTAAAAATTCGCAATGACAAAAAAAATACTGATTTATAAATCTCCTGACCTCTGGGTGCTGCGATCCTGCTGTTGTAGATGGTGCATTCTGGGAAATTTTCTTACCCCTTGGTTTTGAGTGTGGTCCTAAATAATCTTCGTTCGAAGGGCTATTCACCTCTTCCCCTTAGCCCAACGCCAGGGATGTCCAAACTCGGTCCTGGAGGGCCGGTGTCCTGCAGATTTTAGCCTCAACACACCTGCAAGATGTTTCTAGAAAGCCTAGTAAGAGCTGGATTAGGTAGCCCAGGTGTGTCTGATTGGGGTTGGAACTAAACTTTGCAGGACACCGGCCCTCCAGGACCGAGTTTGGACATGCCTGCCCTACGCCTTTAAGCTGAAGAGAATTGGGACACCACTTTTCCTTGAGGGGAACGCGCAAAATGAGGGGTAGGGCTAAGGGGTAGAATTGGGATTGGGCTTAAGCCTTCCCCAGCCTTACACACACTCCGCCTATGCCTGTGGACTAAATCAGAAAGTTTGGAGCTACTTTCATCCTTAAAACGCTTTGTGAACACGGCCCAGATTCTTCTTTATCTGACATTATTATCCAGATAATCCCTCACAGGATGACCAAATCAATGCTCTTCAGCTCTGGAGTCCAGTTAATCAGTCAGTATTTTTAATCAGCACAATTAAAACACACGTATACATGATAAACCTAAACATGACCGCTGTGTTTCTTCTTCTTGTGCTTGAACTTCTTCTTCTGCGGTTTTCCTCTTTTGGCAGTGGGATCCGCCATTTCTCCTTTAAACGAGGACGCTTGTGTTGGTTTATTTCTGGGGTTCTTGGTGAAGTTTTTTCTGCCCGTGTTATTTCTGAACTCCTGCTTCGGCCCTTTGAGTCCTCCTCCCGTTCGCTGTCCTTCTGCTTTTCGTCCTGGTGGAGTTTTCTTTTCTTTCTCCTTCTTCACGGAGCGTTTCACCCGGATCTTTCGCTGCTGTAATGTCGAGCCGTTGAGTTTCAATGCTAACATCACTGAGTCTGGGCTCTGAAACAGAAAACAGCAGGTTTGACACTTTATTCATCTTGTAAATGAAATCAATTTGTTAATGGATAAATGTTGCACCTTAAAATGTACTAACTTTGCACAAATACTATTTAATACACCTGGCTTTTATAGCTCGTATAATGACAAATATAGCGTTGAAAACTAAACGATTTCCCAAATATCTCTTAACATTTTTAAACAAGATTTAATAACTCATTCCTAATAGCTCATTTGTTTTGTCTTTGCCATGATGGCAGTACATAATCTGTCACTAGTTACTTTACAAGATAATGTTCAGCTTAAAGTGACATTTATAGGCGTAACTAGATTAATTAGGTATTAAAATGAAAATAAATAACATAATGTAATAAGAAATACTGTAAATAATGTCCTTGCTTTGTTAAACGTCATTTGGGAAATGTATTAATTAATATATATTTAAAAAACATCTTCACAGAAGGACCAGTGATGTAATGTAATGGATTTTTTATTTAATGTAATCTCCGCTCATTTCAATAATAAATATACAATTAAACATCAGCAAACAAGTGAAAACATCAATTAAATAAGATTTTTAATGTGAACACATGATACAAATTCTACAGTTTTCAGCATCAGTAATTTTCAAAATATTTTATTTTCCACTAATTTATTTAAATATTTCCTTTAAAATATTTTATTTACCACTGAAGAACAGAGAAAGCAAAGGTTCTGGAAATAAACCTTCAATAGCCAGATGAACCTATTTGTAATGTTTCTAAACAAACTTGATGAAATATTACCAACAATATTAATGATACACACAACTGATGGTAACACTTGATCTTAATGTGTCCTTGTTACACTTCACAAGTATTTACAATAAATTATGCATAATTACACGCAACTAATGCTAAACCTAATCTGCATTCTAACCCCATCCATACAGTAAGTACATGTAATGAATTTATATTGCTCAGTAGTTAAATAAATAGTAAAGGACAGCATAAATAAAGGATCACACTTTACAATAAGGTTGTATTAGTGAATGTATTTATTAACATTAACAAACACTGACCATAGCATTTATCACAGGGTTTATTTTATTTTGTTATAATGTTAGTTAATGAAAATAAAATCATTTATTGTTGGTTGCTAACTCTCAGTGCAATAATAATGTTAACAAGCATGGATTGGTATTATTAAATGCTGTACAAGTACTGCTCATACTTCGTTTATGCTAGTGAACACATTAACTAATGAAACCTTGTTGTAAAGTGAGACCCAATTGTTGCACACAGGAAATCTTTGATCAAGTCGACTATTTAAAAGCACATCAAATAGTCAGGTTTATAGGTTTGAGATATATTATATCTGAATTTTTACCTCAAAAAGGACATAGCCGAAGCCTTTCCCCATGCCAGAATCCCTGTCTCGCACCAAACGCACGGCCTCGATGTTTCCACACTCCTGGAAGTGATTCTGCAGCGGAAGCTCACTTATATCTGAGAGAATAAATATACATATTAAAGGGGAGCTAATATGCAGAAATCACCTTTATACCCAGTTGTGTGTCAGCAGTGTGTGAATATCTCCAGCAGCCTCTAATGATAAACATGAATTAGTTGTGTTTGATCTAATCAGACTTGATGCAGAAACACTTTGATTGACATTCTCCCTTTGGACGTGTCATCAGAGGGGGAAAGCCCCGCCCACTAGTGCACATCTCTCCATCTCATTAGCATAAACAGCAGCCCTGAGTGAGAAGCAGCCGTCTTTGCATTAGATATTAGAGTGTTTGAGCTGCTGAAGATGATGTCAGCATAGACTAAGAGGATTATAGATGTGGAGTTTTGACAGAACACTGTTACTCACCGTACGGTAAATTCCCCACAAATATGGAGCGTTTATGATCATGCTGTAAAAAAATGGATTCATTATTACACAAACGCTTTCACAATCTACTGATGAATTATATTCATAAATGTATTTATGACACTCACTTTGCTGTGCTGAGAAACTCGGTCCACTCGTATGTAGAAACCTGCCTGAATCTCATGGCCATTCCTATATATATATATATATATATATATATATATATATATATATATATATATATATATATATATATATATATATATATATATATATATAAAAAGTGTAAACATTTATTACTA